TAGTACTACTAGTACTACTAGTACTACTAGTACTACTAGTACTACTAGTACTACTAGTACTACTAGTACTACTAGTACTAGTAGTAGTACTACTACTACTACTACTACTACTACTACTACTACTACCACCCTTCTACTTCTACTACTACTTCTACTACTTCTACTACTTCTACTACTACTGCTGGCGCCTACTCCTGCTATTACTACTACCACCACTACTACTGCTACTACTACTGATCAAGGACTTCGAGCGTCGAAACCTCACAAGAAGAAGACATTGATCAGCGAACAGCCAATCACGATGTTTTCTTAGTCTGCTTTAAAGGTGTAAGGTTGGCCAACCAATATCTCAGTCTTTGGCGTTGGGGTTTGTCAGCCACGCTCTTCCTTTGGGGTTTACGGTTTGTCGGCCAATACACCCTGTAAGGTCTCGGGCTTGCCAAAGGTTCAGGGGTTTGTCAGCCAATGTCCTACTTGTTTCAGGTTTTGCGCCCAGGATCTTGTTTCAGGGTTTTGGGGTTTGCCGGCCAACATCCCCTCTTCAGGTCTGGGGGTTTGCCAACCAACATCTCCTTTGCAGGAGTAGGGCTTGCCGGCCAAATGTTTTTTGGGTTTGCACCCAAGATCTTCGTTTAGAGTGTTGGGGTTTGCCTGGCAACATGCCCTTTTTAAGGCCTGGGGTTTGCCAACCAACATTACCTTTTGCAGGCTTAGGGTTTGCCCACCAAAACTTTGGGATTTAAGATTTTGGGGTTTGCCACCCACGATCTTCTTTTACGGTTTGGGGCTTGGCCGACCAACATGCCCGTTTGAAGGTCTGGGATTTGCCAGCCAACATCTCCTCTAAATGTTTAGGGTTTGCCAACCAATACCTTATTGCTTTAGCTTTCAACCTTCGAGGAAGGAGATGTTGGTTGGCAAACTCCAGACCTTAAACGGGCATGTTGGTCGGCTAAGCCCGAAAACCTAAAAGAAGAGTCGGGGGCAAAGCCACGAAACCTAAAGCAACAAAGTATTGGCTGGCAAACCCTAGACGGAGATGGTTGGCAAACGCCAAGTGTTAGAAGCATTGTTGGGAAGCAATCCCCAAACGCCAAATGGAGATCGAGGGTGGCAAACCCTAAAACCCGAAAGAAGAAGATGCTGGTGGGCAAATCCTACAAGAAGGCCTCTGGGTGCAAACCCCGAACCTCAAACGGAAAACTCTTGAAGGAGATGTTGGTTGGCAAACCACGAGCAGCACAAGAAGATCAAACCCTAAACCCGAGCTGTTGGTTTTCAAGCCCCAACCCTAAGTAGATGATGGGAGGCAAGATCCAGACCCTACAAGAAGAGGATGTTGGATAGCAAAACTTTGTAATAAGCAGTGGCAGATGTTGGGTTGCGGTCTCAAACCCGAAACCTTATCAGGAAATCGCGGCTGGCAAACCCCACTCGCTAAAAGAAGATCGAGGGTGGCAAAAACCAAAACTTCAATGGAATATCACGAGGGCAGAATCCCAAAGCCTAAAAGAAGAACATCTCAACATCGTGGGTGGCAAACCCCAAAATACCCAAAGAAACAAGCCTTGGCCAACAAATCCCAAGCCCTGAAAGATGTTGGCAAACCCGAAACCTAAAATGATAAGGTATCGGTTGGCAAACCCTAGCCCTGAACCGGTAAAGAGATGTTGGTTGGCAAACCCGGACCGTAAAATGTGTGGCAAAGCGAACAAGAAGACATTGGTCAACAACAAATCCCAAACCCTAAAAGATCGTGGGTGCAAACCCCGAACCCCAAAAGAAGAAGCCATCGGTCAGCAAACCCAACACCTAAACTCAAGCCCTAAACTTTTAGAGGAGCTGTGCAAGCCCCGGACCCTAAACAGAAGCTGGAACCTCAGACGGAGGTGTTGGCTGGCTCAAGCCCGTCTTGGCAGAGAAGTGTAGTGTAGTGAAGCCCTGACCTGAAGCACCATATCCAACTTCCGAAAGACGGTGCCTTTACATCAGATGGTGATGGCGATCGCCGACTTCCCGCACTTGAGGTCGACTGCACAGAGGACCTGGTGCTGAGGCAAAGTGAAGCAATCCATAAGCTCAGCTTACGAATAAGACACAAGAGCAAAGCAAGGGCAAGAAGACTCGACGATCTCACCCACCGCATCAACACCAAGGCTTTGAGTCTGAGTGCCCCGGCGACCGCCTAAGACCCGACGAGTGACGCCACACCGCTGATTTTACTTGCCTTGATTGGGGCAAGCCGAGAGCTCAGAATCATACCCACATCATGCGTGCCAGCTGTGTGCTCTTTCCGCAACCAATCAAAGCATGCCAACTTCACGGAAGGTCATGCTGAGTCGTAGCGCCGCTTGCACGTACAGCTGGGAGCACCACGTACTGCGAGGGACGTCTGTGCCTGAAAGCATTCCTAGCCCCTCCCTGCTCCGGCATGCCAAGTTGTAGCTGCCAAGAAAAAACCGGCGAAGACCGAGCCTGCAGACGGCTCCTTGTTCAGTTCTTTTAGCAGCTGCTCCTCCGCACGAGTTTCGGAATCTGTGGCTTTCTTCGGCTACGACTTCGACTATCCTTTGCATTACCATCGTCTGCATACCACCAGCAATATACATATGATGATCGGCATGGCCTCTGCTATGGGTATGTGATTCTTGTCGACAGGCCTTCTCACGTTCACCACTATTCGCACCGTCGCTTCCACTAGTACTTCGATGATGCTTGCCATTATCAGAACTTATGCGTGAGGGCTTGGGGGTGCTATTGGCTGTTGCCACAGCAGCAGCAGGCGCAGCAGTCCAAGCAGCTGCAGTGCCAAAAACAGCAGTACCAGCAGCAGCGGGTGCTGGTTGCAGTAGTAATGCCGGTGACAGCGACTCTCGGCATAAGAACTGCGGCCTTTGAATAACGTTTGAGGTGCTGGCACCTTCGATGGGCAAAACTTTGTCACAAAACGAAGCGTCTGCACCCAAATCTGGATAACATGGAACCCAAAATCCTAAATCGGATGTTGGACCCACAACTGGAATTCACATGGCGCATGAAACCTACGCCTGAAAAAGCATGCCCTGAAGTATGGGGGTATCACCCTGCAATCCGCAAACAAGTGCTAAACCCTGCAGACAAACCCCCCAGAGCGAAGCCCTAAGCCCGAAATTAAGCGTCATAAGTCATACTAATATTGTAGTAGCTGGTTAGTCAGTAGTTAAGCGAGTAGTTAGTAGCTAGTAGTTAGTATTGAGTAGCTAGTCGTTAATAGATAGTCGTAGGAGTAGTCTGTAAATCGTCAATGGTAATTAGCAATTGGTAGCTAGGAGTTCATGACTAGTCATTAGTAATTAACAGAAATTTGTGAGAAGCACGTGGTAAGTTATAAGGCAAGTAGTAAGTAGTAAGTAGCAGTGAGTAGTCAGAAGTAGCATGTAATAACTAGTCAGTAGTAAGTAGTCAGTAGTAGCAGTAGTAGCAGTAGT